TCCACACCCTGAGATAACAACTCTTTTAAAAGTCTGGAAAAACAGTGCAAGCTGTGCGGAATTCAAGGGAGTCATTTGTTCTTTCTGTTTTAGCAAAATGTTGATTAGATATTGTGATGAGGCATACGAGTAGTGGAAAAATCTCTCCTACTTCCACTACACCCCTACAATTTAGGATATGAATGCTTACAACACTGGGAAGCAATATCCAAAGATATAACAGAAACAAAAAATGCAAAAGCTACATGAAAATGTTATATGGACACTTTGATGGCCGGACACAGCATTTTCAATGTTGAATTCAAATGTTACGTCTAAAAACTCAATGATCTGCAAAAGCAGTCAAATTTTGAGCAATGCTTTGTCACAGAAATGGCAACAGAGAGCAGAGGGATGAAAGGCACACCGCAAACACTGGAGGAAATGCAATGTCAGTTGTTTAATACAAAACATATGGTGATCAAAAACTGACTAATGCAATGTAACAATAGTTATAAAAACTGAAAACAATCTTGATTTTAACAAGCTATATCAGAATGTTTTATCAAATCAGAAACCTACCACAACACTATTGCATTTCAAAAACATTTTCAATATATATCTTGTCAATGTCAACACCTCTGAGCAGGATCTTTACCCTTACACAAGCTGTAAAACTTGACCTTATAAACAAAACTCTCAGCAGAAAGTTTTAACAAAGTGCCTTTGGTCAAAGACTGTAATGTGTAACCGATTATATTCAGAAACTACTAAATTCCTTACATCCATGTTGGACAGCAGTCTATAATGCAATAAATACTCCATGCTCAAAGGAGAAGCCTTTTAAAGATGTTTCCACATTTGAATTTGTGAAATGTCAGGAGAATCAGTAGGTGTCGGACCATAATTGCCTGTTAACAATATGGTTGAGTACTGAGACAGGCGCTAACACGGCTTCAGATCGTAAACAATTGGCACCTACCCCAACAAAAGAGCATGTATAGTTTGGCGCAACCCAAGTGCCTGAGCTTTCAACTCACGTGTTTGCTCTTTGAAGCCTGGGTGCAGATGTCGAAGGCAACTTAAGTAAACATCAAATTTAACAGGGAGGATTCCACTGCATCTGACAAACAAAAGAAATCCCCTACAATATCCAACCCAGGTGAACACATGCTTTGGAAGATAATCCTTTGTGTAAGATGGTCTTTATGTATCACACATAGGAATTAACAATGCTTGAGTTTAAGCATGTGATTGTGGGTATTGTGCATAAATTTAGAGCTGCTGCCCATTTGTCAGAGATGCAGTTCTTTAGCAATCAGGCTTCTATTCACTCCATACAAGCAGCATATTTCTAAGTGCCTGACAACTAATAATGACCGACAGGCTTGTATTTTAGACATGAGGAGTGTAAAAACAATGATCACACGGCTCATTCTGGTCATTACTTTTTTTTTGCTTCACAGGAACTGCAGAAAAGAAAAAAACAAGATTTGATAGATCAGGTGGAAAACAGGTCTTCTGTCGCTGCAGGAGCAGCAGAGGAGATACGAACTAGCTGTTGTTTAATCTGTGTGGACTCTAGTTGGTGAAGGAAAAACCCTTCTCAGCTATCTCTGTGGTTCTTGGATTGACATACAAGTTAAAATTATGAAACATAAAATTCACTTTAAGGTAAAAAAATTAAAAATCGAGTTGTTTCATGAAAATTAGAGAAAATACTGACCCACAGAGTATATGCGACAATATTAAATTGCCCTTATTTAGAATAGCAAAAATTCTGTACATACATTAAATAGATAATTCAGTTATAAACTGCCTGGCCAAAAAAGTCACCACCAAAAAAAAGGTCACACAAATATTTTGATGGACCGCCTTTAGCTTTGATTACAGCAGCATTCACCGTGGCATTGTTTTGATAAGCTTCTGCAATGTCACAAGATCTATTTCCATCCAGTGTTGCATTAATTTTTCACCAAGATCTTGCATTGATGACTAGGCACTATAGGCATGATGGGTGCATCACTTCACCTGCCTCTCTTCTTACCCTGATGCACCCATCACTCTGGAACAGGGTCAATCTGGACTCATCAGATCGCATGACCTTCTTTCATTGCTCCAGAGTCCAATCTTTATGCTCCCTAGCAAATTTAAGCCTTTTTTTTCCCCAGTTAGCCTCACTGATTAATGGTTTTAACAATAATAATAATAATAAGAAGAAGAAGAAGAAGAAGAATACTTTAGTTGTATAGCATCTTTCAAACAAATGTTACAAAGTGCGTCACATTAATCAATTAAAACATAAATGACGTCAGAAACATAAAAGTATACCAAATCAATTAAAATAGATAACATAAGGAAAAAAAAAATCAGATATTAAAAGCCCTATTAAACAAGTAAGTTTTAACTAATGATTTAAAAGAAGACAATGAAGAGGCCTGTCTAATATTTAAAGGAAGAGCATTCCACAAATTAGGAGCCCTGACCATAAAAGCCCTCCCTCCTTCTGTCACCAGTTGAGCTCTGGGAGTGGAAAGTAACAGATTTAGGATCTGAGATTGCAAGAAGGGATGTAGGGGGTAAGAAGCTCAGATAGATATGATGGTGCAAGACCATTCAGGGATTTAAAAACAAACAATAAAATTTTAAAGTTTTCTTAAGGCTACACAGCTGCAGTCCCAATCCCTTGAGTTCCCTTCGCATTGTGCGTGAAAATGCTCTTACGTTCACTATTACACATAGTCTTGAGTGCTACTGTTGTTTTTCTTCAATTTGATTTCACCAAACGTTTAAGTGAGGAGTGTCAAACTCACTTACAAAAGGGGGCCAAAATTAAAGCCTTTTTCAAACTAAAGACCAATTTCAGAAACTAAATTAACTCAAATCAGATACCCAACATTGTTTCTTGGTCACAGGTTCCTCAACAAGAGTTTTATTGGTCTCATTGATGTTCTTTGTTGTGTTTCCACATTATAATCAAAGATTACTGGAAAAAAATTCAAGAGATAGAAGCATTTTACATTTCACATATCTTGGGGGCCAGATAAGATGTCAAGAAGGGCCACATTTGGCCCCCAGGCCTTGAGTTTGACACATATGGTTTAAGTGATCGAGGATCACGATCATTCAGGATTTATTTTCCAGCCACGTGTCTTCCTCGAAGACGATGGGTCCCCACCATCCTTCCAGTTTTTAATAATGAGTTGGACAGTTCTTAACACAATTTTAGTAGTTGCTGCAATCTCCTTAGATGTTTTCTCTGCTTGATGCCAATGATTTGACCCTTCTCAAACAGACTGACATCTTTTCCACGACCACGCCATGTGTCTTTCAACATGGTTGTTTAAGAAATGAGAAGCAACTCATTGCACCAGTTGGGGTTAAATAACTTGTTGTCAGCTGAAAGATAATCACCCATGCAGTAATTATCCAATAGGAGGCTCATACCCATTTGCTTAGTTAAATCCAGGTGGTGACTTTTTTTGGCCAGGCAGTGTATTTATGTTCATGTTGCAGAACATAAACTGATATAAATGACCCCTATTACAGCATTGTTAAAGTTGTGTTCATTCAAAGTTTTATTACATTATGTTCTGAAACACACAGACGTTCCTGGCTTTTTTCCACACACTAAAAGCATTCCTTTTTTTAAACCAGATACATTTTGCTCTACACTGACCCTGCTGGAAAAAAGGACAAGCACTACAAATCAGTAAGGAATCTGATGCCATAAAGACGCCCTTAATTGATACATATCTACATAATGCAAAAAAAAATTACTGGTAGTGCTTTCCACACATAACTACTGTATTTATTTTCCCCTCTGAATATGGCCTTATTTGGGTTCAGTCGATAAGAATTGCTGTTTACATAGCATTGTTTTTTCTAGACTTTTTGATTGAAATGCCTTTTTTTTTACCAAAGCAGAGGAAGTATGAGAGCAAACTACAACTCTGTATTTCTTTAAACAACGCTCTCATGTTGGGAAGCAACGTCATGTAATTTGAGGTAACAATAGTGCAGCATAACACCTGTGGATGGGGATAGCACTAACCCTACTGTGCATAAATCTTTATTTGTGGAAAGTACCGTTGAGTTAACAAAAAAAAATTGGGTACTTCACACAGAAGGTAAGACATGATGCAAAACTTGTTTCTTAAAAAAAAAAGTTTTGTATACAACACATTAAGGAAGCTCACTAGGGTCCATACATATAATGGTGCTTTTTTCCCCTTACATATGTATGTATACTTGATAAATAAAATGCAGTATACAGGTAGTCAAAACAATCACACCCACAACTGTTATCAGCATGCAAAGGTCCCCTATAAATTCTCTAAATATGCAATAGCTTAGTTAACACATGGGTGCTTTTTTTATTTTTTACAATTGTTTCAAACTGAATTATTGAGATAAGTAGCAGAAAAAGTAATCAAGGCCCTCAAAAAACATTTGGAATTGTTTTTTCTGAGCCAGCACAGCATGTTTGCCAACAGTTGGAATGAGAAAGATTGTCCTCCCCGTCCACATCCTCAAAAGTCTTCATATTTAGAGTTTTACAATATAAAGTTTCATTGCAACTCCCTTTCTGCACCCCCTGTTCAGCTTTAGTCCTGCTCTCACAGGCACTCTGCAAAGTCAACATTATTTCCAAAAATACTGCAACAGCTATACTGCCCCAGTCTCCAAACTTCTCCGTCATCTCTCATGAGATTAGGGAACTAGGTTGTCAAACTACCGCCTTCCTGCTCAACAAGATGAAATAAACCATAGTTTAGGATTTATTTTTGAACTGCACCAAAGCTTATCTGATGATAGTTTGGCAGCTGTGACGCGAGCATAACAGACAAAAGCATTCATTCTCAGCCTTCACTAATTAGTTATGTGTCTGCAGGGAACACCCAGGTCAGACACCACTGCTGAGTCAATGAGACAGTGGATTATAACCAAAGTACTGTGCAATATATTATAGGAGTTTCAGCTGAGCAACAGTGCTTCAGACATAAACACTAAACACTTACCAAGATAGGATCTGTGGAGAACTTAATTTTCCTCTTTGGGGGAGGTTCATCTTCATCGGAGAGGCCAGGGGTCTCATAGCAGTCATCATATTCCCCATAGGTTTGATCTTCCTCATCTCCCTCCACCTCCCCTTCTTCTTCTTCTTCCCCAATGACCTGGTCTACATCTCTGTCATCCACAAATGCTGCATTCTCAATTCCATACACTGCTGGAGAGGCTCTATCCACCTGCTTCTCTAGTGTAGCATCTTCCTCCGTTGCCTCATCTTCTTCACCGTCTTGACTGAAAACAAAAGTGCCTTTTTCCTTCTCTTCTTTTACATAAAAATCATAATCATCCTCCAGTATTCTCCCTTCATCGACAGCGTCTGTGCCTCTTAGAAGAGCTGTGTTAGAGCTCGGATCATCCGCTGTAAAGCTTCTTTTTAGTTCTCTGTAGTGTTTCTGCTCTTCAAATGCACTGTCTTCTAAGTTTTCTTCTTCATTACCTTCACTTTCTGAGGACTCGTTCTGAACCACAACCAGTTCAGCCCGCACCGTGCTCCCCACTTTGGATTCGGGGAATGAAGTCTGACTGGGTGGTTTTTCCCCAGTAGAGACGAGAGTCATGTCATCTTTACTCTTGGCTTTTTCAGGGTATTTGGCCTTGTCTGCATGCTGAGCTCCACCAGTTGATATCAAAGATTGTTTCTCATGCCTCTGGGGAGGACTACGTGGTTTGGCTTCATCCCCACCAACAGATGTCCGACTAAATCTGTCAACAGATGATGAAGATGACTTGTAGCTATGGTTAACTGGGGCTGTCTCCTCTGGTGAGTGGAGTTTGTGAGTGTTATCAGCTGTCAAAGAAACGGATTTACTTTCCAGACTGGTACCTGTAGGTTTAGTCCCAAAACTTGACCCCAAAGATGCAGGTTTGTTGTCTTTATTTCTGTTGGTGACATTATTTACAGAGTCAGCTGCTTCTTTGACTGGAGAAGTAGGTTTGTGTAAGCTGTCTCGTGTTAGAGAGGTAGGCTGTATGTGTTGAGCTGTACTGTGTTGTTTTGTAGAGACCATTCCTTCCTTCCCAGCAGATGTGTGGTTGTCTTCTGTGTCATTCTCAACCATATAATTTTCCAACCTCTTGGATATGGGCCCTGCATTCAATGACACTCTAGGCGCATGTCTTTTTTCACCATCAGCCATCTCATCTGAAAGACTTTTAACGGTTGATACATGAGTTTGCTCCATTTTACCATTATTTTCCATGCTTCCTGACACTCTCCTTGTGCTTTTCCCTTCATCAGAGGCACTTCCAAAAGACAAACGATTTACTACTCTGTTTGGGGACTGCTTTTCAGTCACAGTCTGCTCTTTGATGCCTCTTTCAAATAGTTTTCTGGTCACAGAAAACTTCTCTGCCAAAGCCACTTTGTCAATCTCAACATCTTCTCCCTTGGGCATTTTATCTAAATTGTGGGATTCTGGGCTTGAGGCACTGTTGAAGCTAACCCTGTGAGCAGTGACTGGAAATTGTGTCTTTGTAGGAGAAGTCAGGGGAACATCAGGCTTTAAAGTTGGTTTTCCTTCTTGGGACTCCTGTTGCTGCCCGTCCATTTGTAGGAAGATGTTCTTGATCTTATTCACTCTGGTTCCAAACGGCCTTCCCCTCGACTCCTCCCGCGTGTCACTGGTTCCATTCGTAACATTTTTAGACGTAGCCTCAGACTTTGGACCATCAAAGGAGCACTTAATGGAGTGGAAGTCAGACTTGTATGCATTTCTGTGAGGTGAAGCGCTTCTCAGGGTCCTCTCTGCTCCTTTGCTTTCAGCTTTGATCATCTTCTTGCTTGTTTATGACCGCAGCACAATCCTAAAGTCAGCTTTCTGGAATGTTTTATTGAGAACTAACACAGGACTTTATGCAACCGGTGCCATGATGGGGTCCTGTGGAGGGTTTTTGGAGTACTGGTCTCTCAACTCAGGGAAGTATCTAAAAAGAGAACGAGAGAATTGCAAACAAATGACACTATTAACTTGTTATTGTCAAGAACAATTTATTAATTATTGTAAAATTGCGTGTTTTCAGATAAAAATAAACCTAAATGTACTGATTTAACTGGCGGTTGGCGAGTGGAAGGTAAGTTCGCGTGCACAGTTAGCGTTTGAATTGTTGTCTGGACTGACTGCTAGCGTATGGAGCTAAAGTTAAACATAACTAGTTGACCTCGAAACTAACTTTAACTGTGACAGTATGTCGTACTTAAATCAAAGGCTTGCTGCCGGCCCCTCCACCCGTAGATAAAAAGCGACGCAAAGTTGAACTTTTGCGCGTTCCGACACTTCAGTGTGCGCCTGAACTCAGCCCGAACGATTCATTGTCGCATGAATTTTCAACTACGTTCACAGTCCAACACGGTAATTCGGTACAAACTAAAAATGTAAACAACTTCGCCAGCTTCTCACCTAGTTGCTTCATCGAGTCAGACGCCGAAAGATGGCTCAAGATTCCAGTTTTTTCTTACAGTATCAAACTTGTTCCTTCTTGCTCGCCGCCATCATTCCCCGCTCCGGCAGCAGCGTTTCCCGTGTCTCTCCCTCTCTCCTCTCCGCACTTCCAGACCTGCCGCGGGATGCGCGCGCAGCCGAGTCTCTGTCTTAGATGCGCGCCGCCGCGAGCCACCAGAACAAACGGGAGCGCGCATACATTCCAGGACTGTAACCCACTACTCCTGTTTCTCCCCTCACAGTTTTTCCACAGTACTGCTCAGACACAAGAGGACTTTTCTAAAGAAACAGCGTGGGAACTTAAAACTCTCCTAGACCTCTTAGAAGGACAAGAGTCCACACCAAGTGTACATAAAAAGCCACTGAATCAATTATTTACACTGTACTGTAAATGTGAAGCAATCACATTAGGAAATAGGTTTTTTCTTGCAAGCTTCCCTTTGCAGCAGTCTGAGTGATTTGTTGCTATAACATGTTACATATTAAGTTGAGTTTACTTGTCTCAGTAGGAGTACACTACTCTGAGTAAAGGCAAAAAAGGTGCAATCACACTCTTAAAGGTACTCATTGCAAGTATGAAATGAAACATAAAAATTGTTAAATTGAAAAGTTATATTCAACTACATCAAATTGGGCTGTTTGAAAGAGATTACGTCCAGTACAGCAATTTTCAGTCAGGTTATCTGGACAGTTTCTTTTTTTTTTTTGTGCTGAAATGTTTCACCTTCCATCCAGAAGGCTTCATCAGTCAAGGAAACACACAATACAAAACTGATTCTTCCCCCAACAGCTTACTTCAAAGTGGAACAAACCAGTTATGTTGGTGCTAAGATGGTCTCTAGTCTTTGGCACGCCCTCTTCTCCGGTGCCGGCTCTCTTCCTCGTCGACAGTCATGTCAAACTGGTTCAAAACCAACAAAGTCCATGCTCAATAATCCAGGTATACAATCAAACAATTGCTGGTTTTGTGTTGTGTGTTTCCATGACTGATGAAGCATTCTGGCTGGAAGGTGAAACGTTTCAGCACAAAAAAAGAAACTGTCCAGATGACCTGACTGAAAATTGTTGGATTGTATACCTGGATTATTGAGCATGGACTTTATTGGTTTTGAACCAGTTTGACATGACTTTCGATGAGGACGATAGCCGACACAGGAGGAGGGGGCGTGCCAAAGAGACCATCTTAGCACCAACGTAACTGGTTTGTTCCACTTTGGAGTAAGCTGCTGGAGGAAGAATTAGTTTTGTATTGTGTGTTTCCTTGACTGATTAAGCCTCCTGGATGGAAGGTGAAACCTTTCAGCACAACAAAAGAAACTGTTCAGATGACCTGACTGAAAATTGTTGGATTGTATACCTGGATTATTGAGCATGGACTTTGTTGATTACTTCCAGTACTTTTCCAGATTTGTTGAATGCATTTCTGAATTGCGGGTCCAGACTCAATGTAAACAAAGCACTTGGTAAGTCTACTGAAAACCATATCGAAACTTCACTTATACTATAAATATGGGGAAAATTGGACAAGCATACAATCTCAGAAAAGACTTTCAGGTGGAAATATGAAAGTGAATCTGGTGCTAAACATGTAAAAGAATGAGTAAGACAACTGTCATAAACAAATATTGGAGATCAAGCAGAGTGGTGGAGCATCATAAAGACAGAACTTGGTATTCAAACTCACTTGGCTTTTGCTTGACAGGTAAGTTTAATGTTTGACTAATTTTCAGTCACTTCAGCTGTTTTCGTAGATAAATAAATGCATGTGGTGTGTGTCATCTGGTCGTAAATTTGGCTATAACTGTTTAATTTAGGACACGTTAACCAGTGATAAAAGGAAAAGGTTGTGTGGAGTCTTTTGGATAAAAGATTAAATGTTTCAACATAGAAGAATCTGTCCAGAGGACCTGACTTGACCTTATCAGATCTATCTGCCTGGATTATTGAGCATGCATCAGGACATTGTGAGAATTTGTTTATTACTTTGTGGCTTTTCATTGTCCAGTCTTCATGACTTTGGAATGGGTACCTTAAAGTAATGCATGACTCAGAATGATTTCATACATGAAAAATTTATTTCCGGCCATGTTATGAATTAAAGGTGACACGTTGGCACAGGGGTTAGAGCTGTTGCCTCTCTGCCAGAAGGTTGCAGGATTGCCTCTTGGTCTGGGGCCTTTATGGGGAGACTTTGCTTGTTCTCTCATGCATGATTGGGTGTTTTTCCAGGTCCTCTGGTTTTCTCCCACAGACCAAAAACATGCATACCAGGTGAACGGGTAACTAAACTGTCTCTAGGTGTGGTGAGAGTGAAAATGGTTGTTTTAAAGTCTCTATCGTGGCCCTGTGATGGACTGAAACCTGTCCAGGGTAAACCCTGCCTCTTGCAGAGTGACTGCTGGAGATAGTCACCAGCTCACCACGACCCAGAAGAGAGAAGCAAGCCAAGAAAATGGATGGATGGATTCATTCTTAGGTTGAGCTCTCAAGTTATCCCCACCTTGCAGTAGATTGTGCAGATGTCTTGTGTCATTTCTCATTTCTTGTTTTGCTTCCAAGGAGCCAGACTTTCTTGTAACGCTTTAACTGGTTTTAAAAATATATCTGCAAGAGTTTAAAAGCTTTTCTATGGACGTTGGCTGCATTTAACTCTATTATGGGTTGTAAGCTCAATCATCCAGGAAGATAACAACAAAAAATGTTAAATCGTGTCATCTGAACCAGTTTCTTTAAGTGAGAAACGTTTTGTACCCCATCCAGAGGACTTCCTCAGTATATGGCCTGCCAAAGTCCTCAGGATGGGGGATGAAACATTTCTCACTTAAGGAAACTGGTCCAGATGACATGATTTAACCTTCTTTGTTGTTTACTCTGTTTCATTTCAGTCAGATAATTGCATTTATGTTTGAGTATGAGTCTTATAGACATATGTACCGTAATAAACTGAAAAGCACAGCGTGTGGATAATGTCATAGTCTTTTAATCTTTAAGACAAGATGTTTGAAAAAAGGCAAAATGCTAAGCAAAGAGGCAGCATGGTGGCACAACTGGTAGAGCTGCTGCCTCTCAGCAAGCAGGTCCTTGGTTCAAACCCCGGTCCAGGGGCCTTTCTGGGTGGAGTTTGCATGTTCTCTCCGTGCATGCGTGGGTTTTCTCCAGGTACTCCGGTTTCCTCCCACAGTCCAAAAACATGCATGTTAGGCTGATTGGTAACTTGTCCCTAGGCGTGAATGAGAGAGTGAATGATTGTTTGTCTCGTTTGTCTCTATGTGGCCCTGTGATGGACTTGCGACCCGTCCAGGGTGTACCCCGCCCCTCGCACAGTGATTGCTGGACATGGGCACCGGCGACCCCCGTGACCCAAAATGGAATAAGCGGGTAAAGATAATGGATGGATGGATGGATGGCTAAGCAAAGATGAAATATTAATATGAGATAGCTCTTTTGTGTTAATATCATTTAATAGATAATGAAAACAAGGTAAAGTATTTAAAAACATGGACACATTTCAAGATGGCTGTGACAAAGGAGTTAGTTTCCGTTCTGTGTGGCTCGTCTTCCTCTCACACGAGTGACTTTGCAGTACGCCTTCTAATATTATAAGGCAAGTTACATTTACAGGATGTATATGTGACTTCAATAAAAATAGGTCACCAACAGGGATTTTAAATACACTATACACAGTTTTAATTTTAATTTAATTTTAATTTGTTGCTGTCGCCAACTTACAATGCAAAACATGCACTTCACTGTGACATTTTTTACATGTAGCTTCAAATCGTGTCTTCTTCTTGCAGAGCTGGAATAACTCTCTGCATTAACACTTATTATGTTTATGAATTCTGAAAATAGATTGAAAATACAGATTTGCAAGCTTCGTTTCCAACAAACTGAGTGACAGTTTGATTTCCTCAGAGGCCAAGAACCTACATTACAAAAATATCTTCCAGTCAACTGACCCAGGAAACAGACTGCTTAAAGTACTGGAAGGAAGTGTCCACTTTTTTATGTATTAGCTACAAAAGTATTTTACATGTAACAAAAAGCTAAATCTAGGTTTATTAAATACAGCATTTAAATGGGTTGCTATTCAGAACACAGTCTAGAGCCCTTAAAGTCAGCTTTATGTAACAGAATGTGATATTCTAGTAATTATTGATAAACAATAACCAGACTGCAGATTGAGACAGGAACAGATGGTGATCTATTTATCAGGCACTTTTGTGATCACTGTCATATTTCTATGTAGCCTGTAAGGTTTAATCCCATTGACAGTTGTAATTGGACAAAAGATGCAATCTAAAAAAAATTAAAACAAAAAAAACAAGACAGTTCTTTATTCCTTTTAGAAAATGTTATTCTGCATCATCATTTGTCAGGATGTTCTATTAAAAACTTGCTGCCGTGTTTTTGAACATCGTTGTAAATTGTCATCTTAAATCATTCAAGGCGACGTCTCTGGAAACGTCTCAGTCCTCAGGCATTTCCTCTGGAGTTATCTCCCTCAAATTCCATTAGAGACGTGGTTATCTGATCTGTAAAACTTTTATACAGTTCCCACTCCCATGTACATAGTTTAGCTCGTTGTTGTTGTACAATATGGCCTTCTTAGGTGCTCTGGTCTCATTTGTTCAATGTAAATTCACTGACATGTGGCCACCATCCAACATCTGAACAGTGCCACTTATGCCTGCTTTAAACTGGATGTCCATAATTTATGTTTATCAAGAAATCTTCTTTCCGAAAAGCAGCGATTAAGTCCTCTATCAAAAAGGAAACAAATGCAGCCTTAAAAAAATCTGACTCGAAACTTGCTGTATTCTTGGAAAGCATATGTTCCACATACCATGAGTTTTTCCTCCGAATGCTGAAGTGCATTTAAAATTGTGTTGCGTGTGCACATGAGAGTTGCATGTGTCCACGTGTTTACTGCTGGAGTCTGCAGGAGCATCTCTTAGCAACTGTAGGTCTGAAAAGCCACACAGTTATTGGCTTCTGAGAAACATCACAGCCAAATCTGTGGTCCCTCAGCAACCTGTTAAACAACATGGAGCGACCAGGGAAAAGGGAAATGAAAAACAGAGCAGGTGATCTGAGTAAAAGCAATGGAGTCGAGAAAATCTCATCAGAGTACCTCAACATTTTCAATGTTTCTCTGATGTTAAGATGTGCTTTTCATAGCTGATTTGCTTGCAGCGTATAAAAATGTGCCATTGTTAACATATAAGTATTTTAGAAACAGAATTAATGTGCAACTTTGAGTCAGCTTTAAAGCAGTGGTTTCATATTATGTTCCAAGACCAAAGTGGATTACTGTTGTTTCAAAGCTTTTCTGATTTAAAAATAAAAAATAGTAGCAGTTTACACAAAGGCTATTTTACAATCCTTTAAAACAACTATTTTCCCTCACACTTACTACATAGAATTTGACGGTTATTTGCAAATGACTGGTGAGGCCTGCGGCACTTCCTGCAGGAACATCGTATTTTAGTCCTTTTGCAGTAAATTGTTATTTACTGCAAAATAAAATTGTTATGCGATGTAAAGACTTTAAAAAAATTAATAGACTGTTTTTCCAACTGTAACTTGAATCCTGCACAAACCTGTCAGTTTGTCAGAGAAAAGCACGAGCATTACATTTACTGAGAAGGAGGGAAAATAGCTGATAAGAGTATATATATATATGAGTAAGAATTTTAGAATTAGATTTTAAGCTTTTTTAACAGTTCAACAACTTCCTCCATGTTTATCTCAGACTGAGAAGAACACAATGTGACATCCTGCTGGAATGTCGGGGGAGAGTTGCACCTAAAATCATAAAAATAAAACCAAATTAAAATTGTTGTGTGGATGCACACAGAAATGTTGCCATGCATGTGACTCATGATTGGTGATATTACAGATGAGCTGCATCCTGCGAGGCAGTCAGCTCATCACAGGGCAACACATTTTTGCTGCCGTGCACAACATACACTCTAATGGCTTTGTGCATATGCTTCTTGGGGCCTTAAACTCCATTTTGCAAATGTGAAGTTGTTTACAGCCCCATCTACAATGCATAAAATGTTAATTGTTCATAAACTTTTCACAGGACCCCCACTTAAAAAAAATCCTAAATATCACTTTAAAAGGACATTGAAAACATATGGTTTAAACACTGAGTTTGGATGAGTACTTGAGTTTATTTTGACATCATCACACATTGTGTTTTGATCCAAGGCAGCTGGGAGTCAATGCTGCAGTACAGGAATGTGTGTTCTGTGCTGTACATGCCCTGACCTGAACCTGACCTTTGTTCTTGGTATTTACTCGAGCAAGAAAGGGCAAAACTACAATGGGACGTGCATATTTTCATCAATCTGAAGGAACCAGACATGCACCTGCAACACAGTCTTAAATTAAAATCCAAAGCAAACAATAAATAAATCTAAAATTATTTTTACATGACCAAAAGGTCCAATACTTAAAGTTCTAAATCACAACATTTATAATTTTTTGCACAATAAAGAAGTCTGTACTGAAAAAAACTGTTCTGATAATCTCATTCTTGCATTTTCACAAACACACTGCTGCCATCTTGTTGCAGAAAAAAACATTTAAAGTAAAAAAAATTAATGGGGGTGGGGGGTGGGGGGGGGCTGTAAACCAACTTGAAAAGAAAAGTTTTATTTTGATTTTACACTGATTTTGTTTATTCCAGGTATTGTTGACATGGCCTCCACATTAAACAATAGACCATTTTATTTGGTAAGTGTATTTGTGATTTATAATTTGCATAACACAGTAAATAAACATGAGAGAAGTAAATTTAAGATCAATCACAAAACTAATTTATTACAAATGATCATGCTTCCAGGGATAAAAAGTGTCAGTAGAGGTATGCAAACAGTTTTTCTCACAACGCCGCCAGCACAGATGGAGTCGCTACACCACAGTCTTTTTGTCTCTGCAGCAGTTTGTTGCCAAGGTAACCACAAGAAACCAATGACCCTTTTATTATGTGGCCTCTTCTTACAAAGCATCATTCTCTCAAGGCTATTATGGAAATGTTTCCACCTAAGATACAAAGTCGCTCCTCACACAGAGCGCTACAGTTAATGCAGCCTGTTGACTTCAGTGTGTGCTGACTTTTTCAGCTGTTTGAGTCTCTGTACAGTTTGTTTCCAGAAAGTTGGTGCAATAATCTGTTAAACCAGCATTTATGCTGAGTGATCACTTTAAGAAACATGTTTCTGTTCTATATCTCTATACGCAGCTTTCAGTTGTCTTGTGTCAGCTGAGGCATTCATCATTTCTGCACTTTGTTTGATGTCTCATTACAGCTTGTTTTTAAACTTTAAAGAACCCTGGTGTTATCTAGCATCTGGTGCATCCTACAAATGTTTCCTGACAAGAAGGGGATTAAAAAAAAAATCCACCCAACAGTAACATCTAAAGTAGCTGTGATTTTTGAGAGTGAAATCTGACACATGCAGCATGTTTGTTAGTTGTGTTACATCCCACTGCCCTACCTTTAAGAAAGATATTATGGTATCTGGCCAGTGCTTAATTTGAGCTGGATCCTGCCGAAACAGGATCCGGGAACTCTCTTATTTTGACAGGGTGCGTTCCAGTAACTGTTTGCTGGGATCTGGTAACTCTCAGACTTACTAATAATAAAGTTATGAACAAATATGACTGCCTTGAACGAATAAAACTTATATTTGGTATGTAATCTGAAAATAATTACATAAACACTAATTTTAAACCCAACAGCCACTTACGACATCTTAAAACAACATCTTTAAGCATTTCTGCCTCTACCCTTAAAAAGATCTCTGCCCCTAAAAGAGTGGTGGGGGTGAAGTCCGAACGAGTTAACCAGGCAGTTGTACGAGAGCAGGAGCCCACAGGCAGAGGCCATGAACAGACGGAGGAGGCGCCTGGAGGTTTCACGTGTGGAGTCAGACAACAGTGCATTCAGAAGAGTGGACTCGGAACCGTCAAGTAAGGAGGAGGGGGGGAAGGATGCTTGACAGAAGCGGAGTGTTTACAAATGTAGGGAAATGCAGATGTTTAACAACCCAGTAAAATACACCAAAATGCAGAAAATCACTTATAAAGTACTTTTTGCTGTATAAGTCGCACCCTTTTGCATAAATTTGCATGTCCTGTGACTTATATGGCGAAGCAACTTATTTACATTTTCCCCTATATTTTTAACCCAATTTTTGGCTGAGATCTGATGATTTCATTCATTCTGACATGGAAAATATTGAACACTACCATTTTCAGCCGCTAGATGGCGCTTGAGGTCTAAGGCAAGCCAATTGTGTCATTCATAGCCACTTTTACCTATTACATGACACAACGGCCAGCCATACTACTCAAGTGCCATCTAGTGGCTGAAAATAGTAGTGTTCAATATTTTCAATGTCAGAATGAATGAAAATGGTCATATCTCAGCCAAAAATTGGTTTATAAATATAGGAAAATAATGCATGAACAAGTCGCAGGACATGCAAATTACGCAAAAAACGTGACTTACAGGCCAAAAAATACGGTACTCAGGATATGTATCTTTCCCTTTGAGGGTTAACATCTCCAGATTTTCATTTTGTTTTTGTTTGGTACTATTATACTCACCTATATCATATATATTTATATAAAAAGAGTTTTTTGACCTTTTCCGTTTTTTTTTTTTTTACAATTTATCATACAGCCCTGTCATTTCTCGTGCATTTGTTGTTACTGATGACATATAAAATAATATAAAGATCAGGACTGATTAACATTAGTGATGATTCTAATCATATTGAACATCCAAAAAAACAACCCACAGAGATCCTAACAAAAATAGTTTTGCAAGCCGTGCATACAAAGGCAAGCCTTGACTTTCATATATATATATATATATATATATATATATATATATAAATTAATCTCTAATGTTTGCAGCAATCAAACATCCGAAGGAAAGTGTCTTTATCTCAGTTTTGAGTTCACTCCTTACACCATGTTTCCTTTGTCTGTGAGCACTTCTGAGGTGAGCAGGCTGGATGATGAGCAGAGTCAGTAAGTAAGTGAAGGTGCAGCCTCCTCTTCCTCCTCTGCAGCAGCAGCAGCATCAACAGCAGGACTTTCAACTGGATTTCACGATGGTAGCAGTGCACACTTCGTCTCATTCATCAGAATCTGCCGAGTGGATTATCTGTCTGGATAAGAGGTAAATCACTTATAAGCTGTCATCGTGCGGAAAGCTCGCTTTAATGAGGCAGATTTCTGTGGGCGTTTTGTTTAAACAGCTGCACTCAAAGAGTCATGGTATAAGCTGCTGTAGTTTGAATTCAAAGCTTTAAATTGTTCCTCCTTGAGAGCTCCAAGGTTACTGATTATATCAGGACACCTGTGCTTCCGGTGCCTTTAATTTGCTCTATGATTAGGCTTGCTGTTTCTGGGTCCAGTCAAAAAATTACTTGTTTTTTTTTCCCTTTAATTGACAAAATAACCTATAATTTATTCAGTTACAAGAAAATAAAATCTCAAATACTTATGGGCTATTTTAGGATTTGTAGCTATTCAGAATGGTACTCATCCTCACAAATGTTCTTTATTATCTTTAGCTGGTTACATTTATTACACCTACAAAACAACAACTGCAGAAATAACAAATAAGATGTGGCTTATATCCATTTCTACTTTTTGTTAAATGTTTTATGCATTGCCCAAATTCAAGAGGAAGGAACAAAATTTAATTCTACTTCTTCAAACTCAAATTTTCATGTAAATATGAGAAGGTTAGACGTGGAAGCATCTGCAACCTTATTATTAAGTAACCATTTTCAGAACTGCTCATTAAGGAGGAAAACCCAAATCTGACAAACATTTAAATCAGATGCAATTGATATATGAAGATAAAAAAAGCAAAACTAGTAAAATGGAAGAGTTACATTTTTGCCTTCCTGTGAGGCAAGAAAACAGAGTTTTAGTTATTAATTATTAAAAATAATAAAAGTTAATACTGTATATGACATGCACGTGTCATTAATTAAAAAAGTTCATGATTTAAATGTATTTATTTTAAGGACAAAAGTTGCCTTATTATATATACAGCTGTATATATATATATATATATATATATATATATATATATA